AAGTGCTTAATGTTTAATGAAACAGTGAATGTTGAATTACATGTGGGGGATTGTTACGGATAAATACATGGAGGAAGGAGAGCACAAGATATATTTAGAGGACAGAAAATGAATAATTTGGCCAGAGCAAAAATTCATGTATTGAACACTGGAATGTAAATACCAAAAAGGTAAGTTATATAAGACCATAAATACCAAGCTGAGGAGTTCAAATTTTACACTGAAGTCAGTGGACGACTATTACATATTTTTGGGCAGTTGAGTACTGTAATCGTACAAGTATTTTTAAGATTGTAAATCAAATAGCAGTATGAAGAATGTATTGGGGCACAGAGACTATGGGTAGTGAGACCAGCTGGGAGGCTATTCCAGTAGTATTAAGTCTTGGGGAGAGTGGTTTGACATTTTTATAACATCAAGTCATGTTATAGAGTTTTCTGTACTTGTCCATTTTAATTTTGTTTTTTGAAGGGAGGGGTTGGACTATAAATGCTCATTGCTGAGAAACTTAGCCATTAGTATGTGTGCATGTGTGTGTGTTTGTGTTTTGACAATGGATTCTGAAATAGAATCGATGCCCTGGATGAACTTTGGTTTGTGACTAGAATACAAATCACCCACAATTAGATCTTGATTGGGAATATCAGTTGGATCATTGGGAAGCTACCAGCATGTTCTCAACTTTATAATACTCAGAAATTTCTGCTAAGTACCCTGTTCTTCTTTCCACATTTAGCTCCTTCCATTAGATTTTGTGGTCCCACTGTGCTGTTACAGTTAAACCTCAGATGATAATTGTACTTTGGTTTTCTCTGTTTTTCTTCATGCTGGTAGCTTTTAAATATAGATCCCTTAGAATTTCTCCCCACCCCTAAAACACTTCAACACACTACTACAGGATTGTAGAAGGAATACAGCACTAATGGGAACTCAGAAATAATTACAACAGTAACAAACATAGCTGCAGCACCAGGACTAGAGCAGGCAACCATTTAGCACAGAACATCTTTTGGAGAGAGTGGGGAGTTAGAATGTCTTATAAAGAAGTGGGGGCAGTTTTTAATAAGACTGTAATAAATCACCTTATCTGATGTCAGATAATTCTCCTATCCATGGCTTATAGGTTTTATGTTGTTGCTGCTACTGTCACTTTGTTTTGTTTTGTTTTTTATAAATCAGGTATCATATAGTAGATGAAAAATCAAGGTCTGTAGTGGGCAGAATTCAGACCTTGCCTAGGGCATATAAAGGCCTTGTCCCAGCTTTGCAGTGCAGTATGCTTTTGAATTTGAGATGTTTGCTAATCTGGCAGCTCTTTAGAATTTTTAAACTGTAGAGTCCCTTTTAATCTTCTAAGGTGCATTGTGCAAAATAAATTGACCTGGCAAATAAATCAATGTTTTTCATTTTAGTCTTTGTATTCCCAGCACCTCGCATAGTGCCTAGCACATAGGAGTGATTGTTGAATTGAATTGAATCAACACAAATTTTTCTTTGAAGAGGCAGTCTGTTACAGTGCTCAGCTTGGACTCAGGAGAGACTGGGCTTTGAATCTCGCCTCTGACATACATTAACTACTTCTCTGAACCTCAGTTTTCTCATCTGTAATACCTACTTTACAGAGCTGTTGTAAGGATCAAATAGTATAATGTATGTAAAGTACTTTGTAAACCTTCAAGCCCTATATAAATGTCAGCTGTTAGAAGGAATGAATGAAAATTTATAATGGAGCTATTGTCTCATGGTTGCTGCTGTTCTCATTTTCCCCCAGCTAATTTCAAGCTATTACTATTATATTTATTACATTACTATCCACTAAAACCTTGTTATTTTGAAATGTAATTGGGGGTGATTGGGGAGGGCAGACTGGAAATTAACCTGTTTCTTAGTGAATAGAATAGTCACCAAGTTACCTGGGGAATAGCATTTGCTTCTATTACAAGTTATTTTGAATATCAGAATACAAACACATTGACTATATATGAAAGCTGTTTTTTAAAAAAATTATATGCACACATATGGATGTGTATGCATTTAAAACTTTTTATTTTACATCATTTTATTATTCATTTTTATGATGTGGAGGAGGGATTGCCTCAATTCCATTCTTCCTAGTTACTGACATATTATTTCTATCTTTCTGTAGATATTTAATCCTTTCTTTTCTGTCTGGTTATCATGTGGTAATTTTGGCTTCCCTCTCCTGCTTTAATTCTGATTGCTTCATCTGGTGTCCCTCTAGGTACATTCTTACCTCTTCTGTTTATGTGTCCATGAATAAGGATCATTCTAAATCTGTCAACAGCAATCTTCCCTCATAGACTTTTCCTAGAAATTAGTGAGAGCTAGAGAATAGGAAAGAAGAGGAGGGACAGATGTACTTCAACTCAATAAATACTTGCTAAGAATTAGGGGCTGTACTCATACTTAATTCCAGTTACTAATGGGCACCTGGGTGCTTGATAAGTTTCCCTGTTGATGATAGTACCAGTGAAATTAAGTATGCATATATATATATGTGTGTGTGTGTGTGTGTGTGTGTGTGTGTGTGTATATATATATATACACACACACAAATTCTGTATTTATACATACACTATATATACATGTGCTCAACACATTTTTATGTAAAGCTTCCTCTGAAATACTCCACTCACTGCTTGTGTTAACATTGGGCAAATCATTTCAGCCTCACTTTCCTCATCTCTAAAATTGAGAAGTTGAACTAAGTGACCTCCAAGATCCCTTCCTGGCTGTAAATCTACAGAGACTGGGTCTTAACAATGTGATATCTTCACATGTGAGGATTTCAGTTCTGATGGTACTACTAAAAGGAGGTACCCTTTGAATTTCTTTATGCAAGAAATGAATTTGAGTAGGTCCCACCCACAGTTGACTATTGTCTGGTCTGCCAGTGAGTGACCATTAAATATTTGCCAGTTTGGTAGAGTTAAAGAAACCATATAGACTCAGGAAGTAGAGAGAAAACAATAACTTAAACAGTCGGAGATTTAACGTGTCAGCTTTGGTTTCATTTAACCCCCTGCTCTTAACCAACAAAGATAACTGGTTACTTATTTAATTTAGCTGGCTGAGGAGCATCCACACATAGTAAGCACTTAATAAATTCCTTTTTATTCATCCATTTATTCATTCACAACATGTTTCCTATCCGCATCCTTTCCCTGATATGCCATTTGAAAGACAGTGCCTTGATTTCTCGATTTCTCTTTCCTTAAGTCACCAACCACAGTGCCTCTCTCTCCAGTGTCTACCATTTTATTCTTTTATTGGAAGATACATGTGCCAACACCAGGGAAAATGATAGATTTAACAGCAAGTGATTCATTACCATCCTCTGTAAGTATGACTTAGAGGAATGATTTCATGGTTCATTTGTTGAGGTTGGTGATAGGATCTGTATTGATTTTATTTGCATTAACGGGGGGGAAAAAAAGGAAAGTGTGTTTGTGGTAGAATGTAAGGGCATTGAGAAAATGAATCTTTTCTCATTTCTGTGATACCAGTGTTGTAGGTATTGTCTTCCATGTATGATGTCGTGGTGGAAGTGGCATGGTAAGAATTCTCTAATGTGACTGGCATGATTAGTGGAATTATAGTTTTATTTTTTAAGCATTTAATGAAATTGGTGCATTATTTTTTACTCTTGAGACATCTATGCAATCTAAAAGCTGACATTATACAGGGTATCCCAAAAGTCGCCCAAAGCTTTAATAGCTTAAAGTTTAATGTCCTTTTTAAAGAATTTTAATAGCTCAAAACTGCACTAAGACCTTTGGGACACCCTATACAGCAATTGAAGGTTTGCTAATGACTTTATAGACATTTGGGCCTCACAATAACCCTGTGACATAAAGACTACATGTATTATTATCTAGGTGGCACAATGGATAGAGCAATAGTCCTGGAGTCAAGAAGGCCTGAGTTCAAATCCAGCCTCTCAGACACTTACTAGCTAGCTGTGTGACCCTGGGCAAATCACATAACCTCTGTTTGACTCAATTTCCTCATCTGTAAAAAAAGATAATAGTAATTCTTCCCTTCCAGGGTTGTTGTGGGGCTCAAATGAGGTAATAATTGTAAAGTTATATGCCTGACACATAGTAAGGGCTGTATGAATGTTAGCTATTATTATTATTATTATTTATTATTATTATTACTATTATTACTGTTTTAGAGAGGAAAAAACTGAGGCCTTTAGTATAAGGACAACAAAAAGTTCTTGACTTGTAAATGTAGATATCTTTATTACATAATGATTATAACAATAAAATCACCTTTCACTTTTACAAGCAAACCCATACCATGCTTCAGTCATGTTTATCAGTCCCTACGTTTGGGGAGGAGGGGCAGAGTGTCAGGGGGCAGCAGGGATAACCTTTAATTTAGTTAAGTTTCCGGTCATAAAATGTTCTGTCTCTTTGTAAATAAAGGAAGTGCAACGCAGACATAATTGGAACGCTGCAGAAGACAGTCTAATTACAAAAAAAAAAAAAGAATTTTTTTTTAAAGGAAGAGAGACCAGTCTATGACTCTTCAATACAGCTTTTTAAAAACAAAATACACTTGCAACTTTGAAGGACACTAGTTTTAACTATTTAGGATGCAATTTACAGGTGGTATAAACAAGTATCCGTTATAATTCCAAATGCTACTTTGATTCAAAACCTTTTTGGGGGAGAGAGAAACGAAAATTGGAGAAGTTACTCAGCTATTTCAAGAAAATTTTTACCATTAAGTATCATAAAGGAAGCCATAAAAAGAAGCAAACCATGTAATTGCTGAGTGTACATGATTATGGATCCAGGTCTCCCTGGCGCTCCCCTCCCCCAGAGCTGCTGTCTACCCTCAGCTGCCCTCCCCCCCTTGTCTCTCTCCCCCTTCCCCTCCCCCCCTGCAGGTCCCCCCTTCCCCAGTCCCCATCTGTTGTCGAGCTGTGAGTCATAGCAGGCAAGTACAAAAATGGCTGTGGTTGCTACCTGTTTGTGGTTGATTGTTTTTCCCCTCGGATTGCTGCAGGCACGGAAGAGAGCTGTGGCTTTATCAAGCTTTTCTATCTGGTTTGCTGAGTATAACAGCTTCAGAGAAAATGGCTGCCTTGTTTTCGAGGGCTATACTAGGGATGACCATGCAAGAGAAAATGAGGATCTGAGCCTGAGAAAACTCCAAAGTGGTTTCCCGGGCCATTTAGCATTTATGCATACACTTCTTCTCTCCAGGTAGCTGTATGACTAACATTTTCCACACAGCCAGCACAGTGATGTTTCAGCAAGGCTATTTGAATGATAGCTTGTTCCAGATTTGGGTGAAAGGGAAATGATTTTACCAATGTCATGAAAATGTCTCAGAAATAATTTTTAATGGATTGGGGAGGGAGTGCTGAATAGAATATTAAAAGCTAAGTTGCCAAGTGGCTATAAATTTGGCTAAAATTATTCTCAAAGAAATGTATTACTGTAAACACATAGCTTCCCAAAGGCTTCCATTATTCTGCATCATGTTAGAATAGCATGTTATGGCAAACCATGATATAACATTTAAGTGAAATTACACTCCTTGAGTGTAGAGCCAGAGAACACATTTCCACTATTAACATATTTGTGGTTCCTGAGAAAGCACCTAAAAAAAAAAACCCAACCTTCCCCCGGGTGTACTGTAATCACTTTAACGACTCCATCCTTGCCGTGATTAACCCTTTCCTTCCAACATTCTGTCTCTGTCTCTCTCTTTCTCTGTCGGTATGGGTCTCTCTCTGTTTCTGTGTGTCTCTGTGACTGTCTGTCTGTCTCTCTGTCTATTTGTCTGTCTGTCTGTCTGTCTCTCTCTCTCTCTCTCTCTCTCTCTCTCTCTCTCTCTCTCTCTCTCTCAGACACCCCTCTCTTGGTAGTCTTTGGCCTGTGAAGGTTACTGATAAAAATAATTCCTCTGTTTTAATTCCCCAGAAATATTACATGGCTGAAACACCAATAATAGCTTTCCTTTTGTGGTTCCTTGCCATCAGAAGCCTTATAGAACCTTCAGGAGGTTCTCTGAGAGAACCATCAAGGTTTGTTTGATGGCCTCCTCTCCTGGTTTTTATTGCTCTTTCTGGGATTTTATAGGAACTTGTCACTTCATGTCCTTTGTACACAGATGGTGATGAGAGAGGCACTTTTGAAATTCTGCATTCTTAAGAATATGGGGGAAATAGGTTTCAGCCCACAGGAGATTTTTCATTGTTTTCTATGTAAGATAAGAACTCCTGGCAAAACATGTTTTTTCTGGAGCCAAACTTTGGTAGAAAGATACTGGCCTGATAAATTGAGCTGTCTTCAACATTCTCATTTTCCTCTCATTTTGTCTAGTCTCTTTGCAGTTTTAACCTCCTGGTATCACTTGGATCTACATTATTTTTTAAACACTCTTTATGAATCATTAAATGTTAGCTGTGGTGAACTTTTATTTTAGCTGTATATTTTGAATTATTGGTATGTAGATATTCTCCCAGTTTCCCACTCCTGCTTCAGTTTCACTTCCCCCACCCACTTCATTTGTTTTTAAGCCATCTGATACCATAACTCTTTGGTGAGATGTTTTGAGGTTTCTATTCATTCTAACCTCAGTATGAGCTATGAAATCATATTTGATTAATAGAGTTTCAAGAGTTTTAAGCAAAGAAAGATATGGTGAAATAAAATAAGAGCTTTTGCTATACTTTAAGATTTTTTAAGTTTGTGATTTTAATGTGTAGATATATTTTCTTTAAAAAGTGTTAAATATATTTTGCTTTGTCTCACACCTCTATGGCTGATTTTTGTATTTTTTAGTTTTCATTCTAACCACAATATTTTCACAGCTGTACTTTTCCACTAATGAGGCCAATATAAATTATGATTTAAGTTAAAATTTATGTAGGATAGTGAGGCTCCGCTATGTGGCTAAGACAGGCAGCATCCAGACAGCTTTCTAGATAGTAGATTGATAATTCAATTCTGTGACAAGAATAGAATCATAGATCATAGCATAAGAAAGGGTCTCAGTGATTATCCATCCCCCTTTAATTTCAACCCCATTTTGTAAATAAACTGGAGTGCCAAGGCCAGCGAGCCATTTATTGGTAGAACTGTCTCCTAATTCATGAGCTAGTGTTCTTTCAACTATCCCATGATTCAACTCAAGGATTGCTAATTAGGCTGCTTCCCCTTCAAGTTGTGGTGTACTCCTATATCTTTGTTTAGATAAATACATAATTAGATAAACAAATCTTTGTAGGAGAAAAAAGTCAATCAGCAAGCATTTATTATTAAGTGCCCAGTAGTCAGGCAATACACATTAAGTGCCTACTACATACCAGGTACTGTCTTAAGTGCTGGAGATTAAAAAAAAGAGAGTCCCTGCCCTCTAGTTCAAGGTTTCTGAAAGGCATTTAGAGATCCTAGATTGGAGGTCATTAGCATAGGGTAGGTAGATTTGAGAATTATCAGCCCACAGATGGTAAAATTAAATCCATAGTGTAGAGGGAGAAAAGGAGGGGAACAGGACCCAGCATTGTGGAGAGTGCTGACACAAAGACAAAAATGAAATTATTGTAATTATTCTGGTGAGAGAAGATGAGGGCCTCAAATGGGGATGTAGGCAAGAGATGTCGTGGCCGTGCACTTTTTGGCAATCCACTGGATATTTGAGGCAACTTTGGTAACGGGAAGAGTCATGGTGCCCTCCACAGAAATATGTAAATTCTGTTTCGGAAATTTTGAATTGTAAATATCTCTGGGGCGTCAAGTCAAAAAAATAGGCAGGTTATGCTAAATCAGTGGAGTTTAGGAGAGAGACTAGAGCTGGCTATATATAAATCCAAAAGCCACAGGGTTGTCCTAGAAGCCGTGGAGTCCAAATTTCTCATTTTACAAATTAGGAAACTGAGAAGAAAAGTGACTTGCCCAAGGTCCACATAGGGAATAAGTGACAGAGCCAGGATTTTAACTCAGATCTTCTCACTCCAAAATCCAGAAGTCTTTCCATCATGTCACACTGCCTCTATCAACATAGAAATAATAATTAAAGCCATGTAGCTGATGAGGCCACAGAGTGAGGTATATGGCCTAGCATACACCTATAGTTAGGGGTGGACAGCTAGGTGGTGCAATGGATAGAGCTTAGACTCAGGAAGACTTACCTTCATGAGTTCAAATCCAGCCCCAGACGCTTATTAGCTGTGTGACCCTGGGCAAGTCACTTTACCCTGTTTGTCTTATTTTCTTCCTCTGTAAAATGAGCTAGAGAAGGAAATGGCAAATGAATCCAGGATTTTTGCCAAGAGAACCCCAAAATGGGGTCATGAAGAGTCAGACATGACTGAAACAGCTAAACAACAATAGTTAGCAGTAGGATGTGGATGAAGGGAACTCTAAGACATGTAGAAGATCAAGTGAGATAAATGTCATGAAGACCTAGGTAGACCCAGAATACGGGGTGGGACTATGTGTATGGTTAAATAGTGTCACATGCTGCAAGGAGGTTAAGAAGGGCGAGATGGAGGAAGTGTTATCCCATTTGGCAGCATAGAGATCTTTGGTAACCTTAGAGCAGTTTTAGTTGAGAGGTTAAAAATGAAGTGGTAAGTTTGGGGACTCAGCCTCTAGTTCGGTTGGAAAAGTGAGTGTATGACGTGTTATTATGTAGAGACATGTTATTTTTCTTTTAAAATACATTAGTCCATTAAAATAATTTTTAAGCAGAACAGCTTTTCTACACATGTTGGCTTGTTTTATCACCACCACTAAATTAAGATGTCACCAGATTTTCAAGGCTGAGTTTTTGCCAGCTGTATTATATAGTTTTCATTCATTCAACAAACATTTATTCAGTATTTACTATGTGCAAGGTACTGTGCTAGACCCTAAGTATACCCCTCCCCCCAAAAAAGACAGTCTGCTTTCAAAGAGCTTATCTTTTGTTAAGGGGAAATACCATATACCCCAGTCAATACAACATTTTGGTGTTGGAGGGGGTTTGGAAGGTCTCTTGTAGTAGATGGCAGTTGGGCTAAGCCTTGACTGAAGCTAGGAATTCCAGTAAGTGGAGGTGAGAAGTCAGTGCATTCTAAACCTGGGGGACAGCCTTTGCACAAAGGCACCTAGGTAGGGTGGTGATGGAGTAGCCTGCATAGTGAGCTGATATCATGTAGATCATGTGATGAATATGAGATCAGTCTGGAAAGATAGATTAGAACCAGATTATTAAAGGCTTTAGTCTTTAAAAAAACAACAACAATAAATAAAATGGGCCTTTCCATATACATGGTAGAACAGGAAGAAAAAAATTATACACAAAATTATCTCTGTTATGCAGAGCTCACTTTCTTTAAAAAAATATATGTAACTTTCAAAACTGCCCTGCTTGTCTGAGATTCTTTATAAAAGGGTTTTCCTTTCATCTCTTCTATACATTTAAAACGATTCACTGGGCCCTATTTTTTTTCCTTTTTTGGTTTGCTTATCCCTATCTCCATTCCCCTTCCCACTCTGTGCCCAAGTTGGAAAAAATGAAAACAAAGCTCTAGTAACATATTCATAGTCAAGTAAAAAACATGCATATGTATGTGTGTATATTTATACACACTCTCTTTCTCTGTCTCTGTACTTTATCCTAGAGGCAGGAGGGAGCTACTCAGCTTCTTGAGTGAGAGAGTCACGTGGTCAGACCAGACTAAAGTCTACAATGAGTAATATTGATTCAAGCCAAAGTATGTTGAAAACTGTGTAATTTGAAAACATATATGTGAGGAAGGTCGTGAGAAACAAAATCTGAAAATTTAAGGTGATTTTCATCATCATCTGTTAAAAATTTTCTCCAAATTAATGGTTCAAAGGACAATTGTAAATTAAGTATAGGAAACCCCAGTTAATTTGGAAACCTTTAATTTATGCTGTTGTTGAGCCATTCAGTTGTGTCTGACTCTACATGACCCCATGCATGGGGTTTTCTTTTCAAAGATATTGGAGTTGTTTGCCATTTCCTTCTCTACTGTGTTCCCATTTGTACAAATGAGAAACTGAGGCAAATAGGAGTTAAGTGACTTGCCAAGGATCCATTGTACTACCTAGCTGCCCCCATATTTAATTTATACTTCATGGCAGTTTTACCTGGATTGCATTGAGATTTGTCTTTTTACTATCCATAAAACAAAGGAATTGCTAAAGAAGTACTTATTAGTCTATGACTATAGGGGGTTACTTAATCCAATTAAGATAACAAA